CGATCATTAATCAAGGAGTGATCCTCTAGGTAGCGGGTCAGATGGTTATTAAGGACCTTTTCTAAAACTTTACATAAAACTGAGGTGACTGCTATTGGCCGGTAGTTTGCCGGGTCTGAGCGATCCCCTTTTTTGGGCACCGGTTGCACATTGGTATCTCTCCAAGTCTCCGGCACACGCCCCAAAGAATACGAGCATTGGTACAAGCGCGTGAGCACGGGAGACAACTCCGCTGCACATTTTTTGAGTACTACTGCTGGGATGCCATCAGGTCCACTAGCTTTCCGGACGTCGAGTGATTGCAATTCGACACGAACCTCGCGCTGCCTGATTTTAATATCAGGCATCGTTGTGCCACAGTGAGGTAATGATGGTGGCAGTGCATTGCAATCATCGATTCGGGAGTTAGCCGCAAAGAGTTTTGCCAGTAAATCGGCTTTCTCCTGCGGCTTATGGGCTAGTGTTCCGTCTGGGCATCTCAGAGGTGGCAGCGAGGGCTCGCAGAAGTTTTTTTGCACGGCCTTGGCCAGACGCCAGTAGCTACGGGAACCCGTAGGATGCGTCATAAGTTCCTGGCCAACACGTGCAACGCGCTGGGCATCCGCTCTAATGTAAGCCTTCTTACAGGCCTTGGAAGCAAAATTGTAGGCTGCTTTGAGTGAATCGACCTCGGGATCCTTGAGAGCGCGACCTCTGATCCAAGCACGATATGCCGCTTGCTTACGCGAAGCAGCTTCAGCACAGTCGTGATTGAACCAGAGGTTACGCGTGCCCTTACTGATGAGATCAGAATGAGGAATATAGTATTCCATACCCATTATAATCTCCTCAGTAACGGCAACGGCACTGGCCGATAGGTCCCTGTCACTGAAGCAGCGCTGCTTCCAAGGGACGGACGCAAAGTAGTCACGCATACCGTCCCAATCTGCCGACCCATAATGCCAGATACGGCGCTTGACCACTGCTGGACGCGGAGGCTTGGCCTGTGGTGCTTCATGTCATAGTGGTAGTATTTGTATAGTTCATGTCATAGTGGTAGTCACCACTCTTTGTTTGTGACTTAAACACCAAGCACGCATTCTCCACAAAGCCTTGATTACCTCCAGCATGAACGATAATAAATCTCTGACCTTTAGATATGGGCTCTAATACTCCATCTGTAATACAATTTTTGAACTATGAAACAAAGCATAACAAAGATCACTCTTATAAAAAAATTGTATGACACAGTTCTGTGAATAAGTAACTTAACAGGGAATAATTTTTGAAAAATATGTTACTCATTAAGATTACGAGATAATTAATTAGCCAATACCTTCATCATCATTCTGCCAACATTTCCCAGCTGTATGACCGGAGTGAATATAGGTCTCATCTAAGTAGACTACAGGTAGTTTATCTGTATCTTCATTATGTTTTAAAGTCTGAAATAAAATTGTGTTATAGTTAGTTTGCAAATTACTTGACAGTTTTATTAATGATTGCATTAATTTTGAATATTGTCGATGTTACATTTCCTATATTTCCTGTAACATTGATACAAAATTAGGAGTACACTTAAACCTGCAGATAACGAGCACGCCAAGCAGTTATATCATTACGTTCCATCAGGACCTTTCTGTTGCTTTCAGTTTTTCTGAATCGAAAACCAATCATTTTTATATGTTGCCTGAGAATTTCTCGACTGCCGGCAAATCCAATCTCTTCTTTAAGTACTTGGAGCAACTTATTCACTTTTGGTATTTCTTTTTTAGAAACATAAAATTCATGGATCTTTCGTCTAAGAACACCCAAATCAAAATTGTCCATTAAAATTTTATCTTTTCTTGTTTTTCTAATTTTCCCTGGAGTAATTATTTTACTAGATGATGCTTCAGCCAATCTTCCTTCATTTCCAATTCTTGCAACAGTCCGTAAAGATATACCTGAAATCGTATTTTATTTAAACGCTGTGAAGGAGCAAAAAACTATCTAAAGCCTACAAAATTTGGTTATGTATTCGTGGTAATATCGGGCACTATGTATGGTATCACTTACCTGTTGCAGCTGAGACACGCTCATTTACCCTTTCAAATGGAATAATCGGGGCACTAGATTGCTTTTCTTTCATAAAATACTCCTTCACTTTTAAAACCACCTCTCTAACACCACTCCTTATCACATTTGGCATTATTTAAGAAGGTTTTTATTAAATTATAAGCACGAATAAACCGCAACAAACACCAACTTCAGCTATCTGTCAAAAGTGACGCTTTGCAAGATGGCGGCGTTAGTTCCGAAATCGGCCACGTGCCAAATAAGCCTTGTAGCACTGTACCAAGATTTTAAATTTCCATAGATGACATTCCTCGGTGTTGCCATTAAAAAAATAAAAAATATTTTGTGTATTAGGAGGAAGTGGGAAATAATTTCCCAATGTTTGATTAAGGGTTAACAAAACTTCATTCCCGAAATCTTGCACTTTCCGATAACAGTTATCTTTTATTTCCGAGGTTTAACAATGAACATAAAAATCTTTGTTCGCCTTATAAGCTTTAGCCGTTGTATAAGTATATAAGATTTAAAGTAGAAAATAAAATATGTAATTCTTTTTCATCATTTAATTTTATCTCACTATTTCATAAAGTAAACATTGCGTATTTTCGAAACTCAAAACATACATTCATGGTGATTCGGAACGCTTAACCTCTCAATTGATGTCATCGCGACTTTACGGAACTGTCAGTGTCAATTTCATTTTTGTTGTGATGAAGTTTTTTTTTTGTTTGATAAATGTTAGGGTGGACAAAAAGACTCGGAACTGGTTGACACACGTGTGCGTGAGTTACCGAATTTCGAATAATACTTAAAAATCCTTCTGAATTGAGTACTATTCATTAATAATACTAACCCTGTTACGTGCTTAGTAGTTAGAAATAAAAATACCATTTACATAAGTATTATATATTTATCACACATTACTTATTAACAGTTGTAAGGTTAGACTTTACAATGAATCAAGAACCCCCCGACCCCCCCGATCCGCCGGACATGGAGATATCCTTTCCGGTGTTTGTCACAAGCGTTTCCAGACTCCAGAAAACATAGATTAACGGATGATACAACCCAAAATGTAGACAAACGTACTAGAAACATTAAGGACATTGACTCATCAATTTCAGTACAAACTGTTTATGCTCACCCTAGCCTTTCTGAATCCCGAAAATACGGTCATGATGACAGCGGACCCTTTATCGTGCACGTAAGGACGGAACCGGACCCTGCCGCGGGCTCAACAATACGACCTATGAAATTCGGTCAACTTTTGCACAAAAGCAACATATCCAACATCGTCAAGGGCGGTATTAAAAATTTAGGGAGAAACAGAATTGAAATTGAATTCAAAACAGGTGATGACGCAAAATCCTTAAAGCTAGACGCCTTAATAGAAAAGTCAGTACCAATGACAAAATTTCTTGGACCCCTACCCAAACGGTTGTACTGACCTTTGAAGGTCAAAGCCTTCCCAAACGGATCTTCTCATTTTATACATCGCTCCCAGTTGAGACATATCAGCTCCCTACGATCCAATGTCACAACTGTTGCAGATTTGGCCACATTAAAGCCCAGTGTCGCTCAAAGCCTAGGTGCTACAGGTGCGCTCAAGAACACCCCGGTGATAGCTGCCCTATTTTAGAAAAAAAATCCACCTGCTTACACTGCTCTGGAGGTCACTTTGCTACCAGCAGAGGATGTCCAGAATTTTCCAGACAACACAACATCAAAATAGTTATGTCCCAGGAAAATGTTTCATACTTAGAAGCCTCTGCTCGGTTTGCCCCCGTCCGTAGACCCTACTCTGATGTGTCAAGATCTCCACATTATACTCAATCCCAACCTGTTCCTCTGTCACCACAGCTGCAAACTCATAGTTCATCATCATACAGAAAAACTGTATTGCTCCCCCCTCGAAATAGGGCTCCTGTCCCTAAAAGTTTTGACCGTCTTGCTCATCAAGCTATTGTCTCTGATGTTCCTCCCTCATTACCCAATGGGTCCAATCTAGAGAACCCTTATTCTACTTCGAGCGACGACAGATTCCTCGAACGCATTATTTCTCTTCTCACAGATATACTCTGCAGATTTAATGACGCCTTACCGCCCAACGTTGCCCATAAATTACATTTACTAGCTAATGTCCTACCTAAAAATGGCCCTGAGAAATCAAACGATGAACACTTTTCAATTTCTTCAATGGAACACTAGAAGTGTTATCCCTAAACTACACGAACTGAAGTATTTACTCAACAAATATCACATTGCCATCGCTGCCATCTCTGAGACATGGTTGAAACCAGACATGCGATTTAAAGTGCCTGGTTACATATGCCTCAGGGAGGACAGAGATGATGGCCATGGTGGTTGCGCTCTTGTGATTAAAAATTGTCTCACTTATACTAAATTGTCAATTCCTCCCCACAGTAATACCTTTAACATAATAGCTGCAAAAATCTGTAATATTTCATTCGTATCTATTTACATTCCTCATCCTTCAACACCTCTCATCCCAGAACTAGAATCGATACTGAAGGCCTTTCCCAAACCCCTCATAGTTCTTGGAGATTTTAACACCCACCACACATCATGGGGATCACACTTTTGTGATTCATTCTCTCCTCATCTAATTGATCTAGCTGATGAAATAGATCTATGCATCATCAATGACGGTAGCCCCACAAGAAGAGTGTACCCTACCCAGGACTAGAGATGGGCAGAGGGTTTAAACCCAGCTGAGCGCATAGGGCATAAACTGGACAAATAGGGCATAAACGAATTTACGTCCTTTTAAATGCCCAAAAACAGGGCGGAAACTATATTTAGTTAAATTCCAAAAATATTAAGACTTTTTCATTAAGTAGTGGTAAGATTTACCTACTTACACAAGTATAATAATATAAACAATGGTAATGACCAAAAAGGAGAATCTCAATTAAATGAATGAAGAAATCTCCATACATTTAATTGAAAAATTAAACTCTTTGGATGGCTAAATAATTGACGCAGACTGGTAATAAAACTAATTTCATAAAAATCACAGATTCATTGTTTATCAAGTAAAAACAACAATAAAAAAATTTAAACTGTTTAGCTGATTAACAAGTTACAGTATCAATTAAAATCACAGTCGGTCGATATTATTTAAATCGATATTTTACCGTAAATGGTAATAAAGATTCGTGCCTGCTAATCACTATCACTATTATAATAAAGAGGATCTATTGGGACAAATTCAATTGTTCTGGATGTAGAAGTTGACGCTTGCGGTTCGTTCGTTGTTTCATTCGACGTGTCTACGTCACTTTCTTCATCTGATGTATGCTCCACATAAATATCACCATCCGAACTAGCATGATCATCCAAGACACAGTCTCTGTACAATAAATTCCAATTATATACCAGAAATGAAATTTTGGCGGCTCTTTCTGTAGTAAGACGGTTCCTCTTCACACTATGAATGAAGCTGTGGGTACTGAAAGATCGTTCAGTAGCAGCTGATGTACAGGGTGCAGTAAGTATACGAACAGCTATTTTACTCAGAGCAGTAGACCCACAAATTCCTCTCCACCACATTACAGGATCAACACTTTCTGCGGCTTTCCATGTAAACTGCTTACTCCACAAACCACCTCGTCCTTTATATTGAGCCAAGTCAGCTACACAATCGATATTTAGACTATTCGCAAGATCATTAATGAACTCCATCGCGTCAATCTCCTGATTCTGATCAAGTTCTTGTCCTACAGCAATAGGATCCAGTAAATGTGCAGCCAAGTGTATCGGCTTAATAACCTGTGCAATCCTATTTTCTACAGCAGTCATCAATAGCTCTTTGTCCGCATTCTCTAAAATTGATGTTGTAGCTAAATTGAATTGCAATTTTGATTTGATATTCTTCAATACCATAAAAACTTTATTAATGTTGTAATCATTTCCTTCGAGTTGAAATATACTTTCTGTTATTGGCTTCAATACATTCACACATTGATTCACCATAATCCAAAAGTTTTCGTCAAGAATTGTAGCCTTGATCTCAGTTGATGGTTGAATGTGTTCATTGACTGCTAAAGTTTGAAGTGCAACTTTGTTGGTTTCTACGCTTTTTAGTGCAGAAACATAGCTTCCCCATCTAGTTTTGCAAGGTAATTTCAAAGTTTCGCCGTGAATATTCTTGTCTTTTCTGATTTTAAATAGAAGTGCACTGAGTACCTGACTTCTTTTTACACACTTAATGACATCTGTCGCAAGATCGATGCAGGCTTTAATTACATGCAGTTTCATGGCATCTGCACATAATAAATTAAGACTGTGTGCAGCGCATCCCAAAGGAACTATCGAAGGATATTTGATTTGCAACATCTGAAAAGCCTTTTGCAGATTTCTTGCATTATCTCCGATAAGGACGACAAATTTTTGCTCTCCATAAGATTTCATAACCTTTTCTATTTCGCTGCATAAATACTCACTAGTATGACGGTGGTCTTCGGTATCAAGGCTTTTGACAAATACCATTTCTGGCTTGGATATCAAAAAATTGATAACGCCTTGATTGCGAATATTGCTCCACCCGTCGCATTGAAAGTGTAAGAACGTCGCTTTTTTGAGATCGTCACACAATTCTTTGAACATTTCATTGTACAGCGTATCTAAATACTTTGTAGCAAGAGTCTTTCTAGAAGGCAATTTAAAATTCAGTTTTTCGTAAAACGCTCTCCACAGTGGATGTTGTACCATCGACATTGGTGCTCCTGAAATAAACAAGGCCTTTGCAAATAGTTTCGTCAGTGATGATGACTCATTCTTTCCTTTGGTGACACTGGTTTGACTACAAGATTGTTCGTTACTGTCATTTTTCAATTGTTTTTTCACCAAAAGTGGAGTCTTGGTACATACCAATAAATGTCTAGTCATTTTGACGACATGTTTCTGTTTATATACTATCTCACAAAAACGGCACTTGATCGTTTTATCATTAATTTCCTGATAATATTCCCATATTTTCTGGTTCTTTGACCTTCCCATGATAAAGCTAGAACAAAAAAAATTACAATTGAAGTCAAGTAGGTACAGAGACAATAAGAGATTTCAACGTGCAACTTTACAGGTTTATTAATATTGAGGTCGTACACACGGAAAATGATAAACAATAATAAATACAGTGTAAACTCCATGTAACGTCACTCGATTTAACGACAAACTCCCTAAAAGCGTCGAAATCACTCGTCTTTGGTTGGTTTAGCTTGTTTTCCATACAATGATACACTCCATATAGCATTACAACCACTCTCAATAACGACAACAATTAAGTAATACACCTTTTAAGTTGCCTAAATTAGTGAAAATCGCGCAGGTGTGTAAGTTCTTTTGTCGCTTTATTATCCTAGCCCGTAATAAACTCGACTGTCGGCATCATGCTAACCAAACTTTCTAAGAAATTCGTTCTTTTGTTTACAAATTGGGATTGCTTGCACGTGTACACTGTTGTTGACTATGACTAATAAGTAGGTAGGAGTCATGCTCACATATAACTACTAGCTTGAAATAAACTGATTTTTCTTCTTTCCATTTAACGACAACTTTATAACGCCATAATATATACGGTCCCTTTAGTGTCGTTATATAGAGTTTACACTGTATATCTGAAACGCGATGAATGAATAGGTTTAACATTATGTAAATACTCACTATATAGTAGTTTATTTACGCCGACGAACACACACACAAACACAATAAAATTTATTTCGTATTCTTCCAAACTCACGAACAATAAATGAGATTGCGAGCAAACTTTGCAATTGCAACTGGTTCGCGCGAAGCGGTTCTCTGTGTAATGTGCTCTGTCTGTCTCTGTGCCCAGTTAAAGACAGGGAAATCCCCGATCACTGACAATAGATACGGCCATAGATAAAAATAAACCTTTATAGTAAATGGGGATGTCCGATAATTGAAAGGAATCGATTTTTTTTAACAATAATCTTAATATTTCTTTATTATTCATTATAATCATCGTCAGCCCGTAATCATCCACTGTTGAACATGAGCATCCTCCAAGACTGGAGAGTTCTTTATTATTGGTACTAAATAAATCGATTTATGTTTAAGTATTTAAAAATTTAGATAGATTTTGCCCAAGGTTGCTTTTCGTGAATGTTTTAGTGGTTTTTAGAACTTTTTTTAGCTGTAGCTGTGTAAATTATAAAACGTTTCGAAATTTAAACACTGATTACTTCAGAATATAATGTAGATAATGTGCAGGCAAAACGAATCAATTCACAGGGAATCTATTCGAATCGGGCATCCCATCCCTAACGGTAAGTGGGACTATACATTGTCTATGGTCGGGGATTCCCTTCGGAACTGAATTAGACGTAGGTAACAGTTACCTTGCGTTGATCTAATTGTGCTGTTTTTGTGGTTAAATTAGATCTGATTAATTAGGTAGCTGTTCAACATGTCAAGTGAGTTATTAATTATCAAAAAATCATTATTTATTAAAAGATTTTGCTAATGTTAGAAAGTTATATTGCATTTTATAGAGTTATGTATGCACAACCACCAATTTTCACAGCGGTATTATTGTTTTTAGAGAGATCTTTGCGGATTGAAGAGAGTGATGACGATTTGACACAATGTGATAGCCCACCAACATCAAAAAAATCATGTCATGGAAGAAAATGGGAAGACAACAAAGAAAATATACAGTGCTCAGCAGACTCGTACAGTGCTCAAGATATGATGAATAAAGATTTACAGTGGTCGGAACAAGTCAATTTATCGAACGATGTGGTAACTCAAGCGAATATCGTAATGGTTCATGCCGGCATACAAACAGACGAACAATCGAACTATGAGTCTGCGAACGAAATGTTTGGTAAATTTGTAGCTCACGAATTATCGAATATTCCCATTTTTAAAAGACGGTTTGTGATGTGTGAAATCATCAAAGTTCTTGAGCGTAATTCTGATTAATTTAAATTACTAACAAGATGCAAATCTCACATGACTGTCACTAGGCAAGTGATAAATAAAAATCTATGAGTGATCATCTAAACTTTTTTTTTTTCATTCACGAAATGTGTCCATGTGTACGTGTAGAGGTATATTTAGGTGCTATGTAAACTTATTTACATATATGTGAGTGGTTGACCAAAAAGGGACCTGAAGGGATTGGAAACCGTTATTTTTTTTTAATTTTTCAATCTGCGGTCTTTTAGTTTTGTTTTGGTCTAACTAGAATATTTTTAGGTGCCGTAGTTTTTTTTTTATGATTTTTTTTGTGAACCGAGGCAGTTTTGGGAAAATTACACCTTACACACAGCGCACACTAGTTTTTGTGATGTCGGGTAAGTGTATAAAATCAGTTTTATTGTTTTATTTTACTTTTAAGGTTATCTCTAATACAACGAAGTCTCTTTATCTTGTGCAGGTGCAAAAAGACGCTCGTACGTGTCAGAAAGTGACGACGATGCTACTCAAATGGATAGTCCTAAAAGTTTCAAGGTCTCCAATGATTCCCAAGGTAATTAAAACAACTTATTTTTTAAAAAAAGCCTTTAATGAAGCTCACACTTCAGTATTGAATAATCAGCGAGTAGAAACTTAACAATTTTTCTGTGTTTCAGAAGTCAAAGAAAACTTAAATCCTAATGTTGATGTTAATGTGTTTGAACAATACAGTCAAGGTTGGAATGACACAATAAATGAAGATATTCCGAAGAACAAAGTATTGAAGATGTTGGATGCTACCACTCAAACTGAAAAAGATGTTGAACAAATTTTAAAAATAACAGAGGCGTCTTATGAGGCTTTCGGAGTATTTGTCGGCAAGGAACTATCCACTGTTCCAGAAATAAAGAGGCGCTTCGTGATGTATGAAATAATAAAAGTATTCGAGCACAGTAGTAAATAATTGACAAATAGTAATAATTTTGAATTGAACATTTATCACAAATAAAAAAATATAATAATGAATTAGTTTTTACTTTTTGTTTTGTTTGCATGAACGTATGGTGTGCCCTGGTTCTTTACAACGACCACAGGTAGTAACTTTCCTGGTTTTTTTAGCAGAAGGACCTGGCTGATCCACCTTAGCCATCTGGCTTGTAGGTTTCGCTTCTTGCGGTTTTGGGCATGTTAGATTAGCTGCGTCTTTCGAAGTGCAAAGAGGTGCTATTTCCTCAAATAAATACCATTGTCTTGTAAGTGAAAGCCCTGGCGGAACTAACAAATTTGGCATACCAGTGATATCATCTAAAGTCACTCCCTTCTTAACAATATTAAATTTTTGTACTGGACTGTTAGCTAGAACTTTACATTCCACTGTAAATGGATCATCTGATTTAATAATGAAGTGGTGATATTGTGTTATTCCTGGAATAGTTGTGAAGAATTCGCTGAGGAAGGCGTTCCACTCATACCACTGAACATTTATTATTCCGTTCACGTAGTCATTCGTACAGATAGCCTTATTTTTTCCCGAAACGGTCGAGTTAGCCACACATTCTTCGATATCATGCAAAGTATCTACTGTAGATTTAGAAAACTTCTGTTTTAAAAGTCCAAACATTCTGTCTGGGGAAAACTTAGTGTGGCCCACCAATAGGAAGTTAAGATGCACTGTCTTGTTTAACTCGCTTGCTACCCTCCATGCACAGTAATGCACAACAGCATTGTTTTTATTTTGACCTACGCAGTTATCTGCACAAATATGCTGAATATCTTGGTCACAATTATTGGATTCTAAATGGTGATGAATGAGATTAATCACACTGTTTGCCCCTTTTCCGAGGTTGTCACATTCATCTATGAGATAATTCGTCTGTGTGTTGTCTGCTTCATCATTTATTCCAAAAATTCCACATTTTCTTGCAGTTTTAAAAAAAGCAGGTCCAACTTGCATTTCAGATGAGAGATAATGGATATTCTGTGCATAATCGATACTGAAGACACGGATACCAGGTTTCTGTTCCAGTTGTTTGGCGCTACACTTGCATCTTTCCTTATATCATTGTAGAATTTTCTTTGAATATTAGCTTCTTCTAAATGATTAATTGCTTGCTTCAGTTTTTCAGTCTTCGTCTCATCGGGCATGTTAATATTACGCATGATGGCTACATTATTATCTCGACACACTGGACAGAGATCAGAGCTTGGTTTCATTGATGTTATGTAAGGCACATACGTATTCCAACATTGTATGAAAGTCGTCCAGCTGACATGATCAATATTGCTATTATTGCATGACTCCACATAGTTTCTATACATACGTCTCTTTGTTAAATTAGCAGGCAATTTCATGACTCGAAAGTCCCAAAACTGTGGAAGTCGACCAGGTAGTGGAATAGATACTTTTTCAGCTGTATTTTTAATAAATTTAACTATCATATCCAAATGTTCTGTGGGAGTTGCATTATGAATAGGTTTGCCTTTTAAACCATGAACTTTATTAGCCACTCCTTTCTCATCAAAATGTTTGAGAATATTTTTGAAGGCCTTGATGCCTATTGCATGAAGAAATAAAAACGTTGACTGGCATATTTCTATATCTGCATGAAAATATTTGTTCCGCAATATAGGTTTGGTGTAAGAAAATTTTTTGTACTTATCTCCCAGCTGTGTGCTTCTTCTGTGACACTCCAACTTACTCAAAATCGCTGTACACTTTGTAGATTTATCCATATCCATGTATTTCTGCCGAACACGTGATAGATATTGTCTAGAAAATATGCCTGAGCATGGGCCACCATTTGGGCCTTTACTACACTTACATGTATCTTCCACGAATTTAGTAATAATTTCGACCTCTCGTATATCTTCAGTGCTTCGCTCCATAATGTTGTCATTTTCTCCTTCATTTACAGTTTTAGCACCAGTATACATGTCCTCCAAACTTATTGCATCGAAATCTAAAATTTCCATTTCAAGGTCGTCCAAGTCCAACTCATCATTTTCAATCATCCCATAATAATCGTCCAACTGACGCAATTCGTCCTCTAACAAAACAGACGTGGCTTTAGTCATTTTTACACTTAGTTTCTCACATTAAGCCAAGAAACTGACACTTAATTAAGTTGCCAATAACGCAATAACTGAAAACACGTGTTGACACACATTAACGAAGTCGCTTAATGACATAAAACATGCTGCGCTCACCACCCGCGCACGAGTCCAAACATGTTTCTACACGAAACTTCAAACGCGATTTACTCGAAATCAATTATTTTCCCTTGAGGTCCCTTTTTGGTCAACCACTCACATATATACCAGATCTTAAGCTGGTGGTGACCAAAATGTGTTTAAATTGGAACACAAAATAGGTATCCGCATCTCGGCGAGCTTAAAAAAAAGGTATGTGTTAACAAATTAAGGTATTTATTTTTCGAATTATAGTTTTACTTAACAAAAAAACACTATAAAGTAATTTGAACATAGTATGATGTAATAATTTGTGATATTTTACAATTAAAATAACCGCCCTGTTTTGGGACGTTTATTGGGCGTAAATGGACGTTTATTAGGCATTTACTCAATACGTCCCAAAATGCCCAGGCATAAACCCATCTCTACCCAGGACATAAAATCTGCAGTAGACCTCACATTGTGCTCCCCTTGTCTGGCTCCTACTTTAACATGGAGGACTCTCCTGGAATGCTATAGTAGTGATCACTTCCCAATTATCATTTCAAAGCCCAATTCCTCCATTCCAGCCTACTCTCCCCAAACACTCCGTAAATACAATACCCGGAAGGCAGATTGGACCAACTTCTCTTCAAGAAATTGATACTAAACTGAGTAGTTTAAATCCTCATTCTTCTCCATCAGATATGTATACACATTTTATTGAAATTCTTATTTTATCAGCAAATAATCATATCCCTAGTATCAGACAACCAAACCAAAAACGCTTATCCCCCCCTTGGTGGGACCCTGAATGCTCTGAAATAATAAAGAGGAGGAAGCAAGCCGAAAAAAACTATAACCAGGATATGTCATCTGAGAATTTCTACCTATATCAACGAATATGCGCTGTAGCCAAGCGTCTTTTCAAAAAGAAAAAAAAGGAAGGTTGGAATAGGTACTGTGAAAACCTGTCTCCAAACACAGACCCCTCCATAGTGTAGCGAAGCATCAAACGTTTCCGCGGATCTTTAGTCAGCCCCCCTCCTTCATCCAACGACCCTTCAAATTGGTTAGAATCTTTTGGTGACAAGGTAGCCCCTCCTTTTGTCCCTACTAATATCTATTTTGAAAGCGAACAAATTCTAAATCATACACCTGACAGATTTGACTCTTCACTCTCGCTTAACGAACTTAACTTCGCCATCAAAAACCTAAGAGACTCGTCTCCAGGGGAAGACGCTATTCCATATACATTACACATTTAGGTCCAATTGCAAAGTCTCACCTTCTTAAAATATTTAATACTATAATTGAAACTGGTTATATACCACCGGCATGGAAGTCTCAGATAGTTATCCCAATCTTAAAACCAGGAAAGGACTCCCAGGAGGCCTCTTCATACAGACCCATCGCTTTGTCATCCTCACTTTGCAAAATCCTGGAACATATAATAAAGAACAGGTTAGAATGGTTAGCAGAAAACAAAGGCATATTAGCTAAAACTCAGTTTGGTTTCCGCAAAGGCAAGGGTACAAACACGGTCACGGCCGCGTGATCAGCTTTAAGGCTATTTTGCCATGCACTCGTTTTGTACGATTCGTTAGTGGGCGGGCTCTCGACTTTTTATGAATGAACAGCAATAGTTCGGTTGTGTTGTGATGAATGTATGCTCATGATATTACATTTTGTTTGGAATTCGTAAATGATTTAATGAATGTCCTCTTTTCAATTACCTACATAATTAAATCTGGAAACAGTTGTAATCGTTCGTGCTATTCACGAAGTAAGAGTTCTGTAGATTATTTAACAACTTATACGAATCATAACTCCTGAATAATTCAGTGATATTTTATATGTCACTAACGGCCGCACTCAAAGGCGTCAATTAAAGGTAATGCTTTATTAAGTCGCGTGTTGTCTTATTTTGTTTTACCAAGAAATTTTGTTTCTACAAAGAAAGTGTCAACTTTAATTTAAATTAAAAGTTTAAATATGAAGGTGAAATTTTACACGAAAGTAATTAATTATTAGGAGTCGTTGCCTAAAAAGGATTTTAGGAAACTTCCTTAAAATGGGGATAAATGTGTATAAATTAAAATTATTTTTTTTAAGGTTGTTAATATCGGAGTTGGTAATTAATTAGGCTTCTAATTACCTAGAGAAATAGAAAATGGTAGTATTTTCTTATTTATACTCTGAGGGGTTACAATGTAGGGTCAAAGTTTTGTTCTGCACGTGCGAAGCCGCTGACGGAAAGCTAGTACCTATTTTTACAAGAGCATAATAAAAATAAAAGAAATAATTATTAAGCTCATTCTATTTGAGAGTAAAAAGGTTATAGGTTTACTTTAAAAATATGGCTATACCAGATTCATGAATTCAATATTAAAATCGAAACCAAATGTAAAATTACGTGTATGATTATTGTTGTTGTTTTATTATTTCTTTATTTGGTCTCGATATCGCACGCGCATCACAGAAATCCCGAGATATTGCCAAACCGCTGGCTGTAGGTAGCTGTGTAGCGGCATAGAGCAACGTCGCGCATAATATTTTCTCTCGCTCGCACTTACGGGCCTTACCCGGCGCATCATCTATTCGCTATGTGCGAAGTACATGGTGGGGGTATAGTGAAGCGATCGCAGCGCTTATCGTGGCAGAAATACGCAACAATCCGGGAAAGTAAAGTCAATTTGCACCGAGTTCGTAATAAATAAAAAAAAATGTCTAATAATAGATGTTGTTGTGTTGTGAACTGCAAAAATAACGGCACAAGTAGTCTGTGTGTATATTTCCTACATTGGACTAGAAATTAAATCAAAGAAATAAATGGATAGATGCCATAAAAAGAAATAAGTAAGCGAAATAACCTTAAATTATGATCAATTTTATTTGCGCTATATTTTATGTGATATTCATTATTGTCTTTATTATTTTAGTGTTGATGGGCCGCCATGGTATCCCAAACCTGACGACACAATTGGTAGTGAACATTTTAGGGGAAACAAAAAATCAGATGAGGAAGAAAATCCGAGTTATGCTCCTACGATATTCCCTGAAATATATCGAAAGGGGAAGGTTAATGATTCACAGGTCCTAGCTAGATATACACGCTTGACAAAACGAAGAACCACAAAAGTTTTAGATACCACATCAAGTCAAATAATAATTGAAGAAGGGAGTGAATTAAATCAAACTCAACCTCTTATGGTCGATCAACGATGTCAAGTGAATATGTTTTCTGAATCGAAATTAAGAGATACAACTTTTATTTGTATTAGATTAATTTACAGTGATCACTGTGATGCTGAAATCCAAGCAGATATAGCAACAACATCAAGAATTTTAATGACAAATAATTCAAGAAAGAAAGATAAAAGCTGTGGCACTGACAAAAAATCGTATGAAGATCAATCTACCGAAATAAAAAGTCAAGAATTTGTTGGTATTTCATCAATAAAAAAATATCAAGAACTCCTAGATCTTGCTGGTGTGTCATTTAGCAAATTTGAATTTTTATTAACAAGATTAACTATGAAAAAATGTACAGTTTTCACTAAAGACCGACTTCTGATATTTTTGATAAAAATGAAAACTGGCTTGACATTTTCAGCATTGAGTGTGTTATTTGGTGTACACAAAACCACAATCTCACGTATATTTCATTCGATCTTACAGATCTCTAGCTTGTTCAACTGCTAATTTAATCTTTTGGCCGAATAGAGCCACCGTACAAGCAACAATGCCCAAGTGTTTCAGTCCAGATTACATCAATACAAGAGTTATTATTGACTATGCTGAATTCCAAATTGTAATACCGACAGTATTGAAATTATTATACAATATATAATAATTTTTATTTATCTTTAATTTACTATACTTACTAGAAATCAATAAAATACTGATGTCATTATTTGGCATAATCCCGGAAAGTTGCGCATTGTAGGTGGCGCTACTGTCGTGCACATAGCGAATAAGACCAGTTCAGTGCGATCAAGAGTAAATATTATGCGACTGCCACGAGCGTTGGTGTTTACAATAATTAATCTCTCTCTTACTTTTGACAATTCTCACGTGATTCTCATTTGCCTCAAAAATCACAGGTATTAAATTACAACGAACGAACTCTATCAAACAAAAGAAGGTGATAAGTTGATGATTTTATAAAATAACATTTTATATTATATCTACACATATAGAATAAATAGAAAATGACTTCTATATTTTATCTTGAATGGAGATTTTCATCTTATGTTTATTTAACTAGTAATTATAATTTCATTCTATGTTATTTTTTTTATTAAATAATTGTCTGATTTTATTAAGTTAATAACATGACTAAAAACTCTTTAAATATAACATTACTCGTATGAGCACCCTCTATTTTATGTTTATTTATAACTTATATTTTATTTTAATTTTTATTGTTATAGCGGCGGCAATAGAAATACACATTCTGGGAAAATTTCCATTCTCCACCTACGTATTACCAAAGAAAATATGTCCATACAGTCCGCTGACAGACGGATGGACGGATGGAAAGCGAAGGCTTAGTAATAGGGTTCCTTTCACCCATTGGTCACACTTTGGTCGCGATCCCAAAAAATAGATTAAACAATTAGAACGTAATCATCACTACTACAGAAACAGGGAGCGATAATAATTTTTACCAGCAAAATAGTCTATACACTACACTTGCTTTAAATCTTTATTAATTTTAAGTATTTGAGTAGTAAGGCGTTTTCAATAAAATACAATTTTAATAAAAAAAAATATTTATTTATTTTTAACAACAATAATAATAAAATGGTAAACTTAGTAATTGGTAATCAATCAAAAAAAAACCTTACACTTAACGATAATAATCACCGTAATAAGGAAGATCTAAGGACGTGACAAAATATGAATTACCTAAATTAATAATATTGACATGACGATTTGTCATTTTTCTATATTTAATTTTATATGTCAATTTATTTTAAAAGCCCTCTAACAATTTGCTGTGTCCGAAAAGGGCGACTAAGTCTGAAAGCCTTATAATGTAATTTTCCATCTAATGTATCTGTCGCAGTAAGATAGATATATCTACACTTAGTTTGCAATAAACAATTGACTATTGACATGTATTGTATATTCGTAAGTAGCTACTTATATATAAAAAATCTCTCTTATTACATCAGTCAACACGAATTTTGAGTCTGAGTTCTGTGTACTGGATTTCTTTTTTATTCCTTATATTAATGTAAAACAAATCATACTCGTTTAGAATATAAATAAATAACAGATAATAAAGGAAGCAAAACATTTTTTTAAATATCATATTATATAATTGATATTTATAATTTACATGACTTTTGGTTATAAT